ATATGTTTATTGTTCACACTAAGTCATCGAATATAGACTAATTAGGTTGTACCTTGTAACCTCCAAAGACTTGTATTGATTATCTTTATATTTTAATTGTTGCCTGATTTCCTTTACACTTGTTCACAATAGAACCTTTAAGTTCCATATCTTTCCTCACTCATATGATCATTTAGGACAATTGTAATCTGATAATCCCACATAGTGTAAACTTCGGCCGAGACCCAGAGTTGTGGACCTCGAAGAGTTCCTAACACCTTCTCTTTGAGGTAATTTGAGCTCTTACCCAATCTTTGGTGACGTTGACTATTTAAAATAGAGTTATCTGCAAATAAGTGCCCTATCGCACCTTAAAATCATTAGGTGGCGACTCTTATCTTTTAATACCTATTTAAAAGAGTTGTCACATGTTGAAACCCGCTTTTGAGAGAAAAAGGGGCACGATAACACTCAATAGACTAGGTGGCAATGCAAGCTTGTAAGTCACATTTCCAATCCTATCAAGCAGCTCAAAAGGCCCAATATACCAAGGGCTCAACTTTCCCTTCTTTCTGAACCTCATATCACCCTTCATGGGTAAAACTCAAAGCAATACCTTGTCTCTTACCATGTAAGCAACATCACGAACCTTCCGATCGGCGAAACTCTTCTGTTTAGACTGTGCCGTGCGAAGCCGATACTAAATCAACTTATCCTTATTCAAAGCATCTTGAACCAAGTCAGTACCCAATAGCCTAGCCTCACCCGACTCAAACCAACCAATCGAAGACCGACACTGCCTCCCAAACAAGGCCTCATAGGAGCTATCTGAATACTAGATTGGTAATTGTTGTTGTAGGTAAACCCTGCAAGCGGCAGAAACTGATCCCAAGAACCCCCAAAATCCATGACACAAGCGCGTATTATATCCTCCAATATTTTAATGGTGCGCTCGGACTGTCCGTCCATCTGAGGGTGGAATGATATACTCAACTCAACCCGTGTGCCTAGCTCTCGCTGCACTACTCTCCAAAACTGGGATGTGAACTGCGTGCCCCGATCTGAAATGATGGACACCAGCACACAAAGGCGAACAATCTTGCAGATATAGATCTCAGCCATCCGCTCTGAAGAATAGGTATTCCCAACTAGAATGAAGTGCACGTACTTAGTCAACCGCTCCACAATCACCCAAATAGCATCAAACTTCTTCAATGTCTGTGGGAGCCCAACTACGAAGTCCATGATGATACACTCCTATTTCCACTCAGGAATCTCAAGCCTATGAAGCAAACCGCCTGGCCTCTGGTGCTCGTACTTCACCGAGCGACAAAACCCACTATGTCTTTCTTTATTCTCCTCCACCAATAGTACTGCCTCAAGTCCTGCTACATCTTCGCAGCACCGGGATGAATGGAATACTGCAAACTGTGGGCCTCCTCAAGAATCAACTCACGTAGTCCATCCACATTGGGCACATAATTCTGACCTTGCATCCACAACACCCCGTCATCCCCAATAGAAATCTCCTTGGCATCACTGTGTTGAACCATGTCCTTAGGACAAGCAGATGGGGGTCGTCATACTGATGCTATCTGATGTGTTCATATAAAGAAGACCGAGAATCCACACAAGCTAGAACCCAACAAGGCTCTGAAACATCTAACTCATAAACTTATTGGCCAAGGCCTGAACATCTGGCGTAATCGGTATCTCACTAACAGGAATGTATGCAAGACTACCCATACTCACCACCTTTCTACTCAAGGCATTGGCCACCGCATTGGCCTTCCCTAGATGATACAAAATGGTAATATCATTGTCTTTTAGCAAATCCAACCATCTCCGCTGCCTCAAATTTAGATCATTTTGTTTGAACAAGTGCTAAAGACTCCGGTGATCTGTAAATACCTCACAAGACACACCGTAGAGATAATGCCTCCAAATCTTCAATGCATGGACAATGGCTGTCAACTCTAAATCAAGAACGGGGTAGTTCTTCTCATGAAGCTACAACTGGTGTGAAGCATAAGCAATCATTCTACCCTCTTGCATCAAGATACACCCAATACCGATCCGAGAAGCATCACAATACACTGTATAAGAACCCGATGCTGAAGGCAAAACTAGAACTGGAGTTGTGGTCAAGGCAGTCTTGAGCTTCTAAAATTTCTCTTCACAGTCATCCGACCACCTGAATGGAGCGCCCTTCTGGGTCAACCTGGTCAAAGGCACTGCAATAGACGAGAAACCCTCCATGAAGCAACGATAATATCCGGCCAAGACGAGAAAACTCTGAATATCAATAGTTGAACACAGTCTAGGCCAACTCTGAACTGCCTCAATCTTCTTCAGATCCACCTTAATCCCCTCACTGGATACCACATGCCC